TAAAGCCAGAAGCTGGGCTTCCCCTGGTGGCGCAGCGGTTGAGCGCTGGGCTGCGAGGCTGCCCGCAGCCTCTGCAGCGACGGTTTGTTCCCTGGCCACCGGTGAGGGTCCCACCAAAAAAAAAAAAAAAAAAAAAAAAAAAGCGCCAGAAGCTCCTCTGTAAAGTGGAGAGAGGAAGGCTGCTGAATATGGAATCCCATAAACTGGCCTATTTGAGCCTTGACTAAGACCTGCTCGGTGTTCTTCTAGCTCAGTGTGTCATCTGTAGTTTTGTTTTCAGTGCCCATAAAGAATCTTGACCACCCTACCCCTCTGTGGACACCTGCAACAACTTAGATCTTCCTTTCCTAGTTCCATGATGTTGTGCCATGCTGCTCCCTTCTGAGACCGTCATCTTATCCCCCAGATCATTTGTAGAAGTAAATGCAGAAGATGGCCCTGTGTGATCAGGACGAAGTGTCTGTGTAACCTGCATGGAGCTCAGAGATCCTTGCTTTCTCCCACACAGCAAGAAGAGAGGAGGCAATTTCTTGCTCTCCTTGCTCTAGACTCTCTTGAGGATCAAGTCCATGGTTTGGGCTTTGTCCTCTAAAAGGATGACTCAGAGCTTCTCCTTCCAGCCTCAGTGTCCTTTCTCTGTTCGTGTCTAAGTGTCCCCCCAATGTCCAGCTAAGCCACTGAGACTCCAGTTGCCCGAAGCCATATCCTCTTTCTTGACCCCGAGCCAGCTCCACCAACATCTAGCTGTTTGGATGAGCAGTTCCAAGGTTCTTGCAATCACTGCAGCTTTAAAGTACTTGGTTTATACTTCATATGAACCCCTTTTCATTTCCCACAGCTAACGAGTTATCACATCATTTCAAGTTATTCTCTCAACCAGTCCTCTCCCACTTCTACTACGGCTGCCATATTCCCCCACTCAGGCCCTCATCAACTCCTATTTGGACCATATTGGCAGGGTCTCCAAGTTGGCCTCCCTGCCTTTGGGAGGCCCCTCAACCAGCAGCCCACCTTCTGAAAGCACCACCATGCGCTCACTCTCCCTCAGCCACTGCATCCCCCCACCCCTGCTTTCTCTAGCTACAGAACTTTCTCCTTCTCTACTGACTCTGCTCCAGTCTAACTTGTCCACTCATGGTTCCCAGGACATCGTGCCCATTCCTGCTACCTTATCTCTGCTGGAGTTATTTTCCTCACGGATCCTTTCCCCACTTTCAGTGTTTTACCTAAATTCCTAGCATTACGAACACTATGTAACATCTCTGGCTGAACTGTACCCTAAGGTTTTGAAACATGATAGGAGACTATGGAAAAAGTGGAGGAGAGGGAGCTGGAGTTGCTCACAGTTTGCTAGAGGTAGAGGATTTAGTTTACCTTTAGGGTGGACTTCTGCTTTGTTTGGGGAAAATAACACAAACCTAAAACTGTTGTCACTAAGGGCCTGAACGCTCATGTTCACTGTTCTGGTTCAGCAGCAGAAATTGCCATGCTTTGGAGACAGCGAGTGCCTTTTTTTCCTCCCTTCTCCCCTAAGATTTGCAGAGAGGAGTTGGGAAGAGAGTGAGCCTGGACTGGTCCCTCTGGGGGTGACTATTAGCAGCTGAAGTATGAGAGTTGCTTGTAAGAGATTTCAAGCAGACTTCCTGGGGGGCTGGAGAGACCCTGGCACTGTTCCTTGGGGGCTCTGGTGACTTGTCTTGATGTACAGCTGGTGAGATGGGCGCTCTGTCCCTCTGCACAGAGCCAGCATCCCCCCTGGAACCCTGGGGGCCACAGAGGAGGCAGCAGCCTAGGATGCCGGGGACCCCACAGAAGTATCTCCAGCAGAGGATCCTTTCATGGGCTCCACACCCCACCTGGTGATGCTGTGGGCAGATAGGTTTGGGACATCATTTGAGCTGCCCCACTGGGAACTCCCAGAAATATTTGAGGGAAGTGTTGCCTGGAATGGGGCTTGGCGCATTGTAACTCATTGTTAAAATAGCAAGAAATCATTTATCCCCGAGGCAGGTGGAAAGGAAACACTCTAGAGAGAGATGTAAAACTGTTCTACTCTGTTAACCATGTTGCCTCTGGGTGCAGGAGTAGTAGAGATTTCATTTTCTTCTTTATATTTTTATGGAACTTTCCAAATTTTCCACCATAAGCATTTGTAATTAGAAAAACAAAAGCTATGAAAAAAGAATATTATTTCGTTCCTTTCCCTTCTGGGCCCAGCGGAAGCCTCCTCACTGCCTAAGGCCTGTGTGGTTTCTTCCCCTGCTGAACTCCTATGCTAATTCTGGGTGCAAGGTCCTTGTTTAGTCACTGTTTGAGGCGCATGTGCCAGATCCACAGGCTCCTTCCTCTCCAGATCCTCCTCCCCTCACTCAGCTTGTGAGAGAAATTTCTCAGAACCTGACCTTCTCCCACCCTGGATCTTCTTACTTGCTGTTCCATCTGAATGCAGCTTCTCTTCCCTAGTTCCCTCAGAGTTTGTGGGGTCCCTACCAAATGCCACTTCTCAGTGAGGCTTCCCCTGACCAGGCTATTTAAAATTGCACACTCCCACCATCCCTTCCCCATTTTCTGCTTGATTTTTTCCCGTCAAGTAGATCACCATCTGACAGGTTATGTGTTACACATATATATTCTCTAGCTCCTTACTCTAGCAAGTAAGCTCAGTGAGGGCAAGACCCCTTTCCATTTTCTTCCCTGCTGTCATCTCACCATCTAGTATGTATGCTTCAAATGTACACAAGATGCTTAGTAAATATTTGCTGAATGGGTAAATACATTTTATAATCAAAACAGCACGTTCCAGGTGCTGTGGTAGGTGCTTAGTAATTCTCTCATTCAGTCTTCAGTGCGTTGAGGTAGGAAGCATTATCTCTATTTTAAAGATGAGGAAACAAAAGCTCAGAGAGGTTGGGTAACTCAGTTGAAGTCACTCTTGATCAGATGGTGGGATGGGATTGGAATGCAGGTCCATCTGCTCCAGAAGCCAAGGGCTTTCTATTTTCGAGGTCTCCTCTGTCCTCATGGTTAGGTAACATGACTGCCTTTGGCTGTGCTCGACACCCAGCGATTTTCAGGCTGAGTCTGCTGCTTTCTGGCACCGATTTCCCCCCAGCACAGGCCTCAGAGCTGCAGCTCAGAGGCATCATTCCTCAAAATCAGGTTTGTCTGCTAACATGGGTCCCTTCTTGTGACAAATGGCCCATGAAATTACAACCAGAGAGGCCAGCTTGGCCCTGCCCTCTTCACTACCTCTGCTCACTAGCCTGGGTTCTCTGGGTTATGGTATGAATGAAGAGGATGAGCGCTTTTCTTTCTTCCTCTCTTAGTCCCATTTTTCCCAAAGGAGACTGGTTGCCCTCTGAGAACCTTCTGAAGAACAGCAGGGTGAAATACCAGCCAGAACCCAGATTTAGGTTAAAGTTTTGGCTCTGCTGCTCACTAACAAAGTCATGAGCTTGGGCAAGTCATTTAACTTGTGTGTTGACAGGATGGGAGGAATTATTCTTTCCTAGTGGTTTCACTATAGAATCATAATGTTGGCAAATGTAGAAGCTGCCTCATGGGGCTGTGGTGCAGATGCATGAACCAATGTGGTTATCAGACTTAGCATCATGCCTGACACATAAGGCTTAAGAAATGCTGGCTGTGATTGTTGGGCATGGCTGGCTTGGGGACTGGGCAGGGTCTGCGATCAGCTCGTAGGATGGGGTGTGAGTTGTGTATTGTAGCTCAGCACTATTCTAATCACCCACCCGCTTTCCTAGAGCTTCAGTCCTCAGAGTTTGGAATTCCTTGTTCAAGGTCACATAGTCACGACTTTTCAAAGGCCTTGATTAGGACACTTTTCAGAATACCTAACCTCCTTAGTGGGTACACTATGTTTCTGCTGGAGGTAATTGTTGCTGTCACTGCTGCGCTGTACAATTTGAGGAATAATTTGCACAAGCATCAATTGCCACCATGACCAAGGCAAGAAGCATAATTATTTCAAGTGGAAACCGTGATTGAGACTGTGAATTGAGGCCTGATTTGGAGGGGCTGCAAATGAGCTGCCACCTCCAGAGCACTATGTGCCTGCTAGATGCTGGGGTTATAATCAACCTGAACCTGTTTCCAAACACCCCTTCTCCGAGTTCCAGTGGGTCAAAAATCCCTATGCTGGTGAGTGTCAAGAGTGCCGCAAGGTTGGGGGCCTCCCCTGGTGGCTCAGTGGTTGAGCGCTGGGCTGCCCACAGCCTCTGAGGCTCCGGTTTGTTCCCTGGCCGCCGGCGATGGTCCCACCAAAAAAAAAAAAAAAAAAAAAGAGTGCCACAAGGGCTGTGACTGAACTGAGACCTTCCTGTTGTCCAAGATATAATTCTTTTTCAACAGAATTTCCTTCACTGCCTTTGCTTTCTAGTTGGAGGATAGTTAGTATGATTTGGAGTCATCATCCATCTGTCCCCACTCTCCCAACAGTACCTGCCCCTCCAATCCCTGCTCTCTCCACTCAGTTTCACCCAGGAAGATCTAGTTCTGTTTGTGCCTGAAGGGGAAAGAGACGGAAGAGCTACGCCTTCCTTCTCCCTCATGAGTGACCCCGAGTCACAGGGAATTCACCTCTTGCCCTCACCATGGCCACTGTCTGCTCTACATATGGGCCCAGAAGCACACTTGCAGCACTTCTTAGAAGCTGATGATGGCATCTGTGACATGGGAGGTCTTTCATCCTGAGGCAAGGGTAAGAGTCCTGCCAGCCCTCTGTACCATCTGGGAACAACGCTGGGAATCACATTTGTGGGTCCACAAATGCTATTTGATAGTTCCATGGAATGAAAAACTAAATTTGAGGCTTAGTGAAGAGGACAGACTAAAGAAGACAGGAAACATGGCCTCTAAGGACAAAACATACTGAGTTTGAGAACATACTCTGAGAACACTGGGACAGTAGACAGAGCTGGGGCCGATGTTCACAGATAATACTCCAACTAATTTTAGTCTCATGACTTACTCTTTTGCAGGCCAGTGTCTTGTCATATTTACCTTGGCTACATAACCCTGGTTTGTATCTCCAGCGAGACAGCAGTTTTTTGAAGCAAGAACGAGTCTGGAGACAGATGACCCAAGTCTGGAAGGAGTCCCAAGAAGAAGGAAATGTAAAATAATGAAGTTACTGGCTTTTCACTCAATCAGACTTCAGTTCCATCACACACTTTATAGTGTTTTTTGTATGTGTGAAACCTTTATAGTGTCTCTGTTTGTTATACAAATCATTAAAACATATAAAGCATTAACTGGCTCATCTTAGGTATTAAATAAATGGCAACTAGAGATAATTACACACATACATTGCTTGTTTTTGAAGCTGTGATAACTAAAATTATACACAATATACTTGAAGCCAGGAATGGGGAGAAACGCGTAGAATGAAACACACTGGATTGGGGGCAAGGGGCTTGGATTCTAGTCTGGGTGCTGTCCTGTGCTACCTGGTGACCTCATGCAAATCACCAAGTAATCAGGCACACTGTTGACCTCTCAGGAGTTGAGAAATTGTTATTGTTTCTAGAAGGTAAAGAAAACCTTCCCATTTTAATCTTTGGACTCCCACAAAGTCCAGGGCATGTAGTGGGCACCCAATATACTTGTTTAATTATAAACTGTTCAGAAGTCATATTTTAAGTTCCTAGTATACTTTTTGTCCTTAAGTTTACAGCTTTTGGTTGCAACCTAATTTGTTGGATCCCTGTGTCCTAAAGTACTTGTATTCCATGCTAACCTTAACATACTTAGGAATGTTACTTGGACACGAATGAAAGTAGGAAAAAGCCGCCAGTAAAGAGAGGAGAAAGCAGCCCTTCTGAACATGGCATGAAGAGGGAAGTTTCCCTACACCCACCTCTGGTGTGGTGATCGCTCTTCTAGGTTTCCTATTGTTCAATGTACCCACACTCTAGGATTCGTTTCCAGAAAGAAGGTGGTAGGCATTGCAGAGGCCCACACTGCTTATGTAGCTAGCTGACTCTTCATGGGTACTTAAGAATGTAAGGGATGCCTTATAAGTCTGCTCCCAAATGAGAGGTGGCAGGTAGAAACATGGGCCTCCTGGTGCTAGGAGAGAGATCTTGAAGTGGAACACTCTGGTGTTAGGTGACACCATATGTATTCTCCACCCACACTACCCACTGCTCCTGACAGCATTTGGTTTCTGCAGCCTTTGGTAGAAGAAAGAACCTTGCAGAGGTTGAGAGACAGAAGATGGAGAGGACCAATATGTTTACTAATAGTCACCATCACTGTCTGTGCACTGTTATAAATTGTCCTGGGGTAAGAGCACTGGCAATGGTGGGGTATAGTTCAGATCTGCCTTGTATAAAATCTTCTCCCAAGTTATTGAGGAGCATCTGTCATCTTAAAAAGTCATTTGTAATACCATTTTCTTCCAACTTCTTCCTCCTCTTCCGCTCCTCCCTGCCCAACCCAGCTTTTCCCCTTCTAAAAAGTAACCCCAGGAAAGCCTAACTGAATTGCCCCAGTTGCGACAGATGTCTCTCTGTAGCCTTTGAGTGGCTGCACTGTAATTTTTGGTTTATTTATTTACTGTCCAGTTCCAAAAAGCAGCACCTTTATCTTGCTCAATATTCCCAAATAGTGTATCACTCCAAAAGATGATTAAGTGTACCAAGGTGTACTTCTAATTTTTGGTTTTTTATTTTTCTCTAGATACCATAGTTAAGAGGTACATGTCAGACTTTTTTCTGAATTCAAATACACTTAGGACAAAAAGTGTTGGGGGCGTGGACATCCAATCAGCTATTTTTTTTTTCCTGGTACCAGATCATCATACTGCTGAGTTCTTTTAAATAAAGTATTGCACTACAATGCTGCCTAATTTGTTCAAAGATTGGAGGAAAAAATGCGAAGTTTTCCAATCCATTTTACAAAACCAGCAAAACTACAACAAAAAAGTACACCACTCTCATTTATAAACATCAATTTAACAGTATATACATTAAATATAACAAATGTAACAAGACACAAAACCTAAATCCTAGCTACACAAATACAATTTCTACTGAATAATCACTCTTCTCTCACCTATAGAACACTACTCAAGAGAGTAGCTTCCATATTTCCCCCACACCTCACCCCACGCTAATTTTCCACCAGCCTTCACCAGGGGTGGATGTCTTCCCTAACGCTGGCCCTGGCCCTAGCCTCAGCTCTGGCCCTGCCGGTCTCCTCTGCCAGGGCCTCACGGTACTGTGCTGGCCAGTGCTCAGGGTCTTTCTTATGGAGCTTAGCCACAAACCCCAGGATTTTCATCTTGCTGGTCTCCAGGTTGCTTCGGGGACCCCAAGAGAATTCACACTTCGGTGGACTAGTGTAAGGCACCCGCCTGCAACTGAGGCATCGCTGCTGCACGAACTCTTCCCTAAGCCTCTTCAGGTACCCAAAGAGGAAGTGATACTTTGAGGGATGCAACCCCAACCCACGCAGCATCTCCCAGACCTGTGCTTCCCTGGCGCTATTACCTTTCATGCAGATAAGGCCCAAGATCATCATTAAAATACTCAATCTGGGACCATCTCCTCCCAGAGCCTCCTCCTCTTTCTCAAGAGGTTTTAATTTGTTGATCAGGATGTAAGTGTGGTGCTTGCGGCCAAGCTGCATCAGCTCGAAACCAGAAACATGCCGCAGACGTTCTGCGGCCCTAGCGACGATCTCCGGGGACAGATTCTTCAAGTCTCCGAACTATCTCGGGGCGAGTAACGGGGCTCTTCTTGTCCTTCACCAGCAGGCACTGCACCAACTCGGGCCCGTCCTAGGGCGACGGGGACACCCCAGCGCAGTGCTAAGGCTCTGGCCGCCGAGGCACCTTTCCCGGCGACTACCGGCTCTGCAGACCCCTCCTCCCTCACGGCGCCAAGGTCCTCTTGGGGGCTGTCCTGCAAAAGGAGGCTCGGGGCCTCCTCCTGGAGGCAGTCAGGGTCTGGGGCTCACCGTCTTGACCGCATCCTTCTCCCCCTCGGCCTGCGGGATGGGGTGACCCCGCTCTCGCGATTCTGCAACATGTTTTCCACCAAGCAGGTGCAGCGCGCGTACACAGCCCAGGGAGTGCGAAATGCTGCGCAAATCCCAGTGTCGGGGGTGCACAGCGGCTGGGGCGGCGGAAGAACAACTAGGGGAGGTGACCGAGGGGGCTTTGAGGCTGCGGCGCGGCACCGCACAGGGCTCGGGACGCGCCGCGCATCCTCAGTGCGCGCCAAGCGCCGGCTTCTCCAGCCACTTCCGGCCAAATGGACCAAGATGGCGGCGGGGGGGGGGCCGCGCGAAGTCCCGCCCTTTCCGCTCCCTGTGGGGTCGGGCTGCGTCTCGGCTGATCCGCAAGTAAGGTCTCCGAGGAGTTGTGTGGTCTGTGCTGCTTTGGGGGTCGAAAGCCCGACGGGTGAACGGGGCTTATCCAAGGCACGCGGAGTAGGTGTGGTTCAGTGTGAAGGATGAAGTAGGGATGGAGTTCTAACCACATCCTTTGGGCAGGTGCTTGCTGAGTGTCTGTCCAGGCTTTTAGTGGTTCACTGTGGATCAAGTGTAGAGTACAGGGGATTGAACATTGGAAGATAACGACCGCTGGTCAGTTAGTGAGGAGTCTTGAACAGGATGCTAGGGAGACTGAAGTTTATTCTGAACTTGATGGGAAAATACTATAGGGGGATTTAAGCAAGGGAGCGGCTGGACCAGATCTGTATCTTTACAGTCTCTCTGGTGGCGATGGATTGGGCTGACCAAAAGCTGGGAATCCAGTTTGCAGTATTTTTATAGTGCAGAATCGAAACTGAGACTTGGCCTGACTTGTTCATTGGTGTATCCTTAGTCCATACAACAGTGCCTGGCAAGGAGAGAGGCAAATACAGTAAAGTGGGGTGATGAGAGTATAAGTATAACAGATTATATAGAGGTGAAAGGAAAAATGATAAAAGATGGATTGTGGAAGTACAGGTGGCAGGACTACTGACTGGAGGAAAGAAGAGCCTTTTTTTTTTTTTTTTAACCTAATCAACTTTCCATTAGTTTTTTTTCTTTTTAATGTACTCTACTCTGACTTTTATTCCACTTCTTGCCTTTTTCTCTCCTTTCCTTTCATCTAAAATACCGTCCTCATTTCCATCTCTCCAAATCCTATCCACTGTTCAGGGCTCAGCTTAAAGATCATCCTTACCAATGCTTCCTTAGTCTCCTTGAAAGTTATTTACTGCCATCTCTGAATCACAATAGCAATTTAAGCCTAGACTAAGCACTTTTCAAGTTTGTTTAATTCTCATTAAGCTAAGTACTATTATCATCATTGCCATTTTATAGATATGTCTTTCCAATGGTATTTGCTGTTGACTAAGTATGTAATGTTAGGCAAGTTAACTAAACTTCCAGCCCTGCAGTTTCATTACTGGTAAAATGGGTATAATAGTATTCACAGCATTGTGGAGATTATGTGAAATAATGCACATAATGCAGTACTTGGCATGGGTTGAGTGTTCAATAAATGTTAGCTATTTATTGCATACTTTTATGTGCTTATACTATGCTAAACACATACATGTAAAGCTCATCTGTTTCTCCTAATAGTCCTGCTAGATAACTAGTACTGTTATCCCCATTTTACAAGTGTGGTAACATACAAAGAGGTTAAGTAATTTCCCGAACATCACATGACTGAGATTTGAACCACATAGCTTAACTCCAGAACTCATGATCTTAACCACTACATTAATAGATGTTAATTATTATTTTTATTGAACATAGTCTACTTTGTATTATAATTATTTTTGTGTGTATCTTATTACCACCCCAAACCAAACATCCTAAAGCTAGGGCTATTAACTATTTTGAAGCGCCCCTTAGAGTTGACACTCAATAAATGATGGAAGGCTTTATTTTTTTCCATGGAAAATAACATTTATTTTAAGTAAATAACACTTTCCTAGATCTAACCACAAATTTATTTAAAAACATTTCTGAAAATATATACCCATCGATACTATATGAAATACAGGAACTGAAGTGTGTAAATGAAACAGGAGGATGTTTATTATAGTCTAGCTTGAGGCTACTACTAGTTTCTATTGTGCCAAACATTTTATGTACAATATAATTTAGTCCTCATAAATCCCTATTAGGAAGGTATTATTATCCTCATTTTACAAATGCGAAAACAATCACAGAGAGGTTAAATCACCTGTCCCAGACTATCCATCTGTTAAATGCTAGACTAGAAATAAGAACCTAGATCTGTCTGTTCTGTAGTCTGTTCTCATGACCACCACACTACACCGCCTGGTTATCTGTCTCTCCTGAAGGTAGAGAGAACCCCTTCTATCTAAAAGGACAGTGCTACAGTTAAAATAGTCCACTTACATATTTTTCTCATTTCAAGAATTGCAGAGGAGATATATATGCATGAAAAGGGGCAGTAACAAGCTATGTGTTGAATGGAAACAGTTTTGAGGGACAAATTAGCAGTAAAATGACTGAATTTATAAAAAGTGGATGAATGACATAACAGTATTCATCCAAAAAAACAAAACAAAACAAAGCAAAAAGTTTCTGATACATTACAGCATGGATAAATCTGGCAGACATTAATTTGAGAAGAAGAAAGATACAAAAGATTAAGCACATTATGATTTCATTTAATATGATATTCGAGGCAGATTAAACAAATCTGTGGTGATAGAATTTAGAACAGTGGAGGCTCGGAGTGGGATTGACCAGAAAGGGATGTGCAGGAACTTTTTTTGGGGGGGAGTGATGGAAACGTTCTATATTTTGATTTGGTTATAAGCATACATTTGTTAATACTTATAAAACAATAACCCTAATTGTGGGTTCCTATGAGCTGGCTACAAGCTGGCCACTCATGGGCAACTGTGACCTATTTGCTATCTAAAATCATAGCAAAGCAGAGAATTCGTTGACTACCTTCAGAGTATAGCGCATATAACGAAGCAGGCCCAGGGATGCCCAGACCGCTGTTGACCTGATTATGTAACTAAGTCCACGGTGGTCTCAGGATAACTCTATCTGTGATAACTTCAAATACTTTGCTGACACAATGTCTCTTGACACATATACGGTCATATCCCCTTTCCTGTCCATCATAAAACTTTGCCCCCCATTCCTATCCCACCCTCTGGACTTTATACCTCATACCATTGTTGCATGATCAGCTTTTACTAGACTGAATGATTTCAATAAATGGCACAAGAACTTGTGCTAAAGTAGCAAAGTCTTGTCTTGCAAACCTGCTCCTAGGCTGCTGTGTCCCTCATGGAGTTCCCAGGGCAAAATGACAACAAAGTTCCTAATGTCTGTGCATTTCACAGTATATAAATTATACCTCAAAAATTATAAAAATGAAAAAGATTTTGAAAATAATTGAATGAATGGCCTGTAGGCACTGGAGTTGGTAGAGGGTATGAAAGATGAATGGAACTTTGCTTTATTACTGCCATCCTTGGGTGCTACAATGTTATATATTAGAAGGGACCTAGACAAACATTTTTCTAGTTTTGATTGTGCCTGCCTTAAACTGGACAGGCAGACTTTTAAAATAATCCTTACCTAAGCTATTAGAAGGGAAGAAATGTCTGTCTCTTTGGCTGGGGTGGGGGACAGTGAAACAAATACTTTGAAGACTATTATTAGATTGAAATCTTCTGTGGCAGGATCCTTTGTAGTCTGGAATCTGAAAGACCACAGTGCTTAGCAAGTTTAGGATCTGGAAAAGGATAAGGGAATTATACTGAAAAGCAGAATTGCAGAATTAATTACTTTGGAAATTTCCAGCATTCTGTGGGTGTAGAAAAGATGTGTCCTAAAACAAAGCTCTGAACTAGGTCAGGAGATCCGAGTTCTCGTGTTGCTCCTCAATCACTTGCTCATGACCTTGGACAGGACATTTAACCTTTCCCGGCCACTGTTTCCTCATCTTTAGGCCTGACAGCCCTTGCTTTGCCCCTCCCCACAGAGTTATTTTAAGGTTCAAGTAAGAATATAAACATAAACATACTTTTAAAGTGCGTGCTCTGCCACTAAGAAACAAGTATAAAATGTTATAGACTTTTTTTTTTATTTAAAGAGAAGTAGAAAAATCTCAGTAATGAGTGTGACTGGCCTCTTGTGCAGACATTTTGGAATGAGCTAACACATTCCTGCTTGGAAAAAAAGTCTGGCCAAAAAAGATTAAATAAAGAAATGTCAAATCTTGACACTCACTCTAAGGCCAGTGAATGCTTTGGTGGGGAGCCAGGGTTATCTTGTCAGATTCCTTTTAAACTTGGCGATAGAGTCCTCCAAACTCTTGAGTGCTTCTTCACCCAGACACTGAGCAACATATTACCCCAATCTGAGTGGACCCTAAACTGCCTTGGTGCTTGTGTTGCCCCTATTTATCCTGACAGTCTTGACAGCCATGCAGCTGATCTGCTCAGAGAAGGAATTAGGACAAGCTTTGTCCAGTATCCCTGGGCCAGGGGGCAAAATGGAGCCCAATTTTGTCACAGCAGAAAGACCAGAGCGTCAGGCCTGGGGTTTTTGAATGGGAGGCTGGGATTGAGGCAGGATGACCAGGCGAATGATTCGATTTGACTTGGGTAATGAAAATTGTTTGTTACTGTTTGAAGAGCAATTGTGTAAGCAACAGTACTTCTGTGTTTGGCTGCCTGTGACCCACCAGTGTCTGTAACACAACACCAAATGCAGAGGAGGAGCAGACCCTGGCTAAGGGGGGAGGGGAGGGCACAGGGCCCCCACGTTTCTCCCTCCTTCACTGTCCCACCCCCTCTCTAAACCTCGAAGGAGAGTTGGCGAGAAGGCATTTGCCACCTGGACACAATGAGGCCCAGTGCGAGGGGCAGGCGCGAGGCTGGCCAGGAGCCAGGGCCCTGGTCTGAATGGCCGTCGCCAAGGGACTGCCAGCAGCCCATCTCTATCCCAGAGAGGCTGGGCCAGGGCCTTGGTGGGGGCCCCTCAACCCCACCTCCAAAGCCCAACTCACGCCATTTGCTGGCCGTGATCAGAATGCGAGGGATGCAGGGGTTTTGAGCAGCTGAAGAGAGCCGTTTCCCCTCCGCTTCGCCAGTTCATTTGGATTAGAGCAGGCTCTCCGGAGTCCCTTTGTTGGCTGCTTGTTATTCTGCATGCACCGAGCACTGTGCATTCATCTTTATTAGTTCTAATTGCTTCCCTATTCTAATG